GGCTCCATATAAAAAGTCCAAAGCTCGACTTTGGTATACTTAGAAAATTTATTCTATGTATTAAAATATCAACTCTCAAATCGACTTAGGAAATATACTCGGAACGACAACTAGGGTTCGCGTCCGGTAATTCCTCGAATTGACTTGCTATTATTTAATAATCCAAATTAATGGATTTAACCTTAACTTATACTTGAGATAGAATTATTCAAAGAATAATTTATCATGTTTGAGCATTTAGCATAAATAATATAACTCGATAAATTTTGAAACTTACGGATTTCACTTATAGTCGAGCAGTGAAACCGTTTTGAATATAATTACTGTTTTGGGGCGTTACAGTTATTGCTATCCACCACTGCTTTCTCGACACGTGTCCCCCTGCACATGGGGTAAATATTCTCCTGGAATTCTGTCAGAGGCTTCCTTCACGCGCCTGTGACTAGGCCGAACAGCGTGGTGTTAAGTCCTCGAAGTAATCGACCTGATGAGGTTGAATAAATTGCTCGATCGTGTATCTGGTCGAAGGATAGTTCAGTCGACAACCTTACTTGGTCGACTGGTTAATTGCTCGATTCCTTTGGCTTCCTCATAATATGACCTCCTCGACCGGTCAACAGACTGGTTCAGCCTTGTGGGTATAATATCCCATATCATCTAGTCCCCCCCACTCTGGTCGAATCTGAATGATTCGATCTAAGAGTAGATCAGCATTTATCGTCCTTCTGGGTGGTTCGCCGTTTAGATATCGACCAGCTGGTGAGCTTCCCGCTCACTTTTTTCGAATAATTTTCCGTTAATCCCTAGCCATAAAGTCATCCACTTTAAGTCCTTCCTGTCGCATCCGTTTTCTGCCATGCGTCACGACTGTCAGACGTGCCAGACGCTTTAATTATTGCGCCACCTCGCCTAACGCGTCTGTTTTGAGCTCCGTGCAAATTAATACTCCCATCGTTGGATCTGCCTTTAATCTGACGGCCCTTATCCTTCCCCCCTTCAATCACCCAAGTATAAATTTCACACTTAGCGTATTTTCCAACTTTTTCCACCCTTTCAATTTTTGAATCGCTCTGTGCCCAGAATTTCCTTCTGCAAAAAATCTCTTATTTTCTCGACGATTTCTCCTGCGCCCCTTCAATCCTTCCTCAATTATCCATCCACGGTTATGAGTAAGTCTCTTTTCACTTGGATTTATATTCTTTGTAGTTCCATTCTGTGTATTTTGAATTTTCAATGTTGGGTGTTCTCGATCTGCCTGTTGAATCGCCCTAAATTGGCTTGTTGTGTGTTGAATTTGCGCTTGGGATACTCTTGCTTGTCTATTGAATGTTGGGGATTTTGTCTTTCCTTTGAAAATTTTTGAAATTTCCGTCCCTTTACTTTCTTAATTCTTCTCTTGATTTCTGGGTCGCTCTCCCGTAAGAACCCTAATCTTCTTCTCCCCTCTTTCTTTCTTGCGACCGCTTCTTTTTGACATTTGTTCTCTTTGTTTTTGTTTTGGTTTTCTTTTCAGACACTGAAACCTCCTCTGATTCAGTTGAAATACTACCTTCTGCGCTCGAAGCCGTCCCCCTCTCTATCCTTCGCCCCGGCGATACAGTTCCCACCCGCGTTTTTACCGCCCGCGTCGCTTCTCCAAACTCTGGTGATAGTATGGATAACTTTCCTCTCCGCCAACGTCGACCTCCCCTTGGTGCGTTAGACGAGCCAGAGGAAGACGAGGTCAACTCCTCGCAGCCCACTGCTCCTCCCTCTCCGAGCTCTCCTCCCAAACGATCCTCGACCAAAAAACTGTCTCAGCGCACTTCTTCTTCCTCTCTCTCTCACCCTTGGTTCAAACCCGAAAAAATCGGCCAACCACTTGGTTGGGCGTTCTTCAGGTCCTCTCCCTCTGACAAATTCGACCATCCTCTGCAGGATTACTACACTTTCTTCGAAATCCAGTTTAAACTTGGCCTGCGTTTTCCTTTAAACCCCGAAATACTCCGCATTTGTGAGTGGTTCTCCCTTCCCTTGCATCAACTCCCTCCTAATGCCATCCGCTTCATAAACACTTTTATCATTCTCTGCCATATCCGTCTAGGTCGATTTGACCTGGACTTCTTCCATTACTGCTACGGCCCTTCCAAGCAGGGTCGAGGCCTCTACCTGAAGAGCCGCAACGGTGCTCACTTCATAAACGACATCCCCACCAATCTTTCCAAGTGGATTGATAGGTTCATCTTTGTTCGACCTGATGTCGCTTTTCCTTGGCCCTCCGTTCCTTGGGTCAGGGAAGTTTCGCGAGAGGCGGCCACGGCCCCTCCTTCCAACCCTCTTTTCGACCAGCGGATTCATACTTGGAATTCCAAGTCCATTGCGTCTGATACACTTCTTCAAGACGAGAACCTTCTCCATTTTTGTGGTCTTCTTTCCCATAAGACCCTACCTCCCCCCACCGAGGAGGTTCTCGACCTCGTTCGTAATGAAGATGATCCAGGTAATCTTTGATCCATTTGCTCGACTGTTTGCATGCACATTCCTGTTTCTGTTGAAATAAAATTGACTTTTACCTTGATTTTCTTATCGTATTTGTGTAGAGGCTCCTAGTTTCAACATTCCCCCAAGGAAGACCCCTTTGAAAAAGAAAACAGGGGCTGTCGCTGGGTCGAGCGGCGATAAGGCCGATGGGCCGGCCAGCTCTGGTGGGCCTCGACCAGAGCCACCACAGCAGTCGCCACCGCGGCACACTCCGCCGCCTCCTCCCCCGCCGCCCAAGGAGGCACAACAGCAACAACAGCAACAACATCGCCCACTACAGTCGCAGCCACCGAAGCAGCCGGGGCAAACTGCCCAGAACTCTCAGCAAAAATCCATCTCATCTTCAACCACCAAGTCCTCGACCTCCTCCAAGGTCGATGATCGTCAGAAGGTTGGCGATCATCAACATAAACCCGGCGACCGCCAAAAGACCGCTGATCGCCAGCACCAGGTCGACGATCGTTCCCAGAGACCTGACGACCGTCAAAAGACCGATAGCCGTCAGAAAGTCGATCATCGAGCTCCCAATCCTTCCAAGTCCACGGACAAAACCTCCGAGCCCAACCCGTCGTCCAGAGACAAGGCCAAAGACCAGGCCGCGGAGAAGTCCTCTGTTGGCAAGCAGCCTCTCGAGACTCCCTCTGCTGTTCCGACCAAGGCGCTGGTCGAGTCCGGTAGTCAGGCTGATACCGAGCGTGAGACGGTGCTGGGCAAACGGCCTCGCACTGAGCAGGGTGCGGTCGTCTGGAAACGTGGGCGCGATAGCTATCTTCTTCCCGACCCCCTTGCTCCAAGGCCGACGTCCCTGCTGACTGCTTCCGTGAACGAAGTGTCCGACCGCCTTGAGAGCACCCTTCTCGAGGACGATCGCAAAAGGCGTGGCCCCACACTGCCCGAATTCGGGGACCAATTTGTTCAGTGGCTTGCCCAGGTATTACTTTCTTCACCTTTGCCTGCGCTCTTCTTTTCACTCCACCTGTCACGCAGGAATTGAGTTGTGTTCTTTTTATCGATCCCAGGGTCTGGTCCAATTTCTACCTACAGCGCGAGAGGCTCGAGACAGCTCTGGGAAGTCCATAAAAAGTCTCGAGAGTACCCTTCGCTTCTTGCAGGATAAGAACTCATCCCTCCTGCAGCACAATACTAAACTCCGTGAGGCCCAGGCTGGACAGAAGGCCGAGTTTGAAGTCAAGGTTAAATCCCTTGATGAAGAGCTCGGCTCCAAGAATAAAACCCTCGCGGAGTATGAGGCCTCCCTTGCTGTGAAAGAGGTTGCGGTGGCCGAGAAAGAGGCCGATCTGAAGGAGAAGGAGATTGCGCTCGAGCAAGAACGAGTGGCCCGAGCGCAAGCTGAAGCTGCTCGAGCACAAGCGGAGGCTGCTCTTGCGCAGGCAGAGGCTGCTCGAGTTCAAGCGGAGACTGCTCGAGCGGAACTGGAGGCTACCCTGACCAAAGGGAGGGCTGCCCAGGCTACTCAATGTAAACGCTACGCTGATGCTGCGGCCCTTTGGGCTCGGCAGATGATGTGGGGCACAACCACTGGGCAGCTTTTCCTCCGAGAGTTCCGCGAGCAAGTGGTGGCCGATTATGTGCGGTCCCCTCCCTTTTTAAAGGAGGTGCAGGACTTTGGGGTGGACTGCTTTCAGTTCGCCCTACAGAAGGCTGGCGAGCAGATCGCCGAGGATGATTTCGAGCAGATCGATCCCATGGCTATCTGGGAGGCCTTGCCCAAGGTTCCTTCCAATTTCCAGGGTGATCCTAGCTTACCTCTCGAGCATGAGTGGTGGTCTGGGCTGCTTGGAAGGACTCTGGCTCGATCGGACATTCTGAAGAAGACATATGCTGTGCCCGACGATCTTGTTCCTCCTGCCTCGATGCTGGCTGTGCTGACCGAGTCTATACGCCAACGTCCGCTTAATGAGGCTTGTGACTCGACCTCCGGAACTGGCCATCCGCTCGATTCCTCCGCCCATCAGAGTAATGCTGACTCAGCCGCCGCTCCTCCCCCTTAGTGTAGTATTATGTTTCCCAATTTCCATTTGTATGTATTCGAACTTCTGTAATGTGTGTACTTTTCTCGATATTCTTGAAATGAAGATGTTTTGGTTGGTTTATTTCTTATCTTTTCATATGATGGTGATGATCTGCTTTGGTGTGTTTGTGTGATTTGTTGGCTAAGTAGCTTAGAGGAGCTTCTATGCCGTTAACATATTTTCCTTCTTGTGATCTGTACTTTCCGTGTAATTGTGTGTTTTGAACATATGCTCTCCTTATTTCCATCATAACGGGCTTTTCGCTTTGAACACATGCCCACCTTCTCAAGGATGATCGTAACCTACGACTTTCCAGCCTCATGGCCTTAATCATGATGGCTTTTTGCCCGAACGCATGCTCACCTTCAAAGAGGTGGTCGTTATATACGACCATCCAGCCTCATGGCCTTAATCATGATGGCTTTTTGCTCGAACGCATGCCCACCTTCAAAGAGGTGGTCGTTACATACGACCATCCAGCCTCATGGCCTTAATCATGATGGCTTTTTGCTCGAGCGCATGCCCACCTTCAAAGAGGTGGTCGTTACATACGACCATCCAGCCTCATGGCCTTAATCATGATGGATTTTTTCTTTTGAAACGCATGCCCACCCTCGAAGGGGTGGTCGTTACATACGACCATCCAACCTCCTGGCCTTAATCGTGATGGATTTTTTCTTTTGAAACGCATGCCCACCCTTGAAGAGGTGGTCGTTACATACGACCATCCAGCCTCCTGGCCTTAATCGTGATGGATTTTTTCTTTTGAAACGCGTGCCCACCCTCGAAGGGGTGGTCGTTACATACGACCATCCAGCCTCATGGCCTTACTCATGATGGATTTTTTCTTTTGAAACGCATGCCCACCCTCGAAGGGGTGGTCGTTACATACGACCATCCAGCCTCCTGGCCTTAATCGTGATGGATTTTTTCTTTTGAAACACATGCCCACCCTCGAAGAGGTGGTCGTTACATACGACCATCCAGCCTCCTGGCCTTAATCGTGATGGATTTTTTCTTTTGAAACGCATGCCCACCCTCGAAGGGGTGGTCGTTACATACGACCATCCAGCCTCATGGCCTTAATCGTGATGGATTTTTT